GCAATTATCTTCAAAGTTTGAATACGCTTTTCTCGATTATTACTGGATACAGAAAGGTGAAAAAAGAATCAACGATTACAGAAAAAAAAACTCTTTCAACTGATGGGCGTGAAAAGTTTGGTTATAATAGAACGTTAAACAGTATAATCCAATTTTTCAACAGAAAATTCAAAAAAATAAAAAAAGTAAAACCATCAGTTTAAAGGCAACATAATTTCGTATAACATGTCCAAATTTCGAGACATTTCGTCGGTAAATACCAGAGAAAAAATTTTGGTGCACCGATAAAACAGCCTTAAGTATCTAACTTTACACGTGTTAAATAACAATTTATATTAATTAGTAAAAAAGTGAAAAATAAGTAGATAAAAAGTTAGTTATCCTACTGTTGCCCTCAAAGATAATCTGTTTTTTAACGATATCCGTAAATTTCTGTTATATAAACTTATATTGCAGTAAAGTTTTGTTTAAAATTTTACACATTTTGATATAAGGAACAAAACAATTTTGTTGTTCAAACATGTTATTACAGAAATAATAACATGAACATACTTATTTTCCAAAAATTTTAAAATTTGACAAGATAATAAACAAAATAAAGTGAAAAAATCATCAGAATCAGTAATGGTAATAGCGGATACTGAAAGTTGTAAAAGTACAAATTTATTGCATTTTATTAAATCAGACCAAAATTTCTAAAGGGGCATTTATCATGAATTTAACTTAACTTTTTCCTGTGCTTGATAAATAACAGATAACAACTCAGAATCAGTGTTATTTTTGTTCGCTAAATACACTAAATACTGACTTCTAGATACCCACAATTTGTACAATTTAAATTGGCCGAAATATTCATTTTTACTCTTTAACATACACATTTTAACATCAATGTAATAGAACTATTATTGTTTATGATTACTGAAGATAAAATTGTGACCGCGACACCGCGAGCTGGATAGTATAAACAAAGACATAATCGCAACTCAGCAATAAGTACATGGCAACATTAGGATATGTGCGTAAGATAACCTAAACGACAAAATATAATGGTATAATATGTATGTTGTCTTAGTGTTGCATTATAAAATTTGGGCTAAAAGGAATTAAGCTAAGAATATAATGTAATATTATGAAAAAAGTATATCACTTTTTATTTATCCTAGTGTTAGACTCAACAGAAGGGTTTATTTCGAATCATTTGACATGAATATCACAAAAGTCATTTTTTTTACATATCCTACTGTTGCTTTACTCCAACGCAAAAATATATGTCTCTGGAGAAGAAATCGAACAGGTAAGGCAATTCAAATACTTGGGTTGTTTGCTGAACGGGGGTTGGGACCCCGAGGATGAAATAAAGAGCAGAGTTGAACAAGCCAGAAACGCTATTTTGAGGCTTCGTAAATTTCTGACTGATCGCAAATTGGAATTCAACCTCCGATACAAGATGCTTAACTATTACGTGTGGCCTGTTTTCCTGTACGAAATGAAAGCATGGACGTTAAAGGCCAGTTCCTTTAACAAACTTAAAGTGTTTGAAATGTGGTGCCTGCGTCGAATGCTTAGAATATCATGGACGGACAGGGTCAGAAATGAGGAAGTACTCAGAAGAGCAGGCTTACAGGATAGGGAACTTTTTAGTTATGTAAAATTTAAGAAAACTGCATACTTGGGGCACATATTACGAGGAAAATGGTATACCTTTCAGCAACTGATACTCGAAGGGAAGATAGAGGGTAGGAGAGGTCTGGGACGTAAAAAAATGTCATGGCTGCGCAATATTCGACAATGGACAGGAATCCACAGCTATGAAATGCTTCGCAATGCTGCTAAAAACAGGAATATTTATTCCTGAATATGTAACATCTCACCTGACAAGACGATGTACGGTGGACGCCTACGCAGAAATGCACGGCACCTTAAGAAAAAGAAGACTGTTGCTTTGAGGCGACAATATATATATATATATATATATATATATATATATATATATATATATATTTATATATTTATATATATAAGGTATATATATATATATATATATATATATATATATATGTATGTATGTAAAAATATATATTATGCACCATAAATCATAACGTCAAACAATGAAATAAAGATTTAGATTAACTACTATGCGCATATTCTATTACATTTTAATACTAATTGTTACTATATATTTAAGAGAAATGCTAGTTATATGTGTCCATAGTACATTAAAAAGCAATTCATGTTTTTATTACGTTTTTAACAGGTATATTAAAAGTATCGTATAATAAAAATAATGAAATATTTATTACAACGTATACTCTTCGGCTTAGAAATATACTTTTTAACTGTAACGGGTAAGACTAAAACTAACTTACGGTTAAAATATACAATTTAATTTTATTTTATTTGTAAAACGATTCATTTATATACTTTTTTATATTTTCTTATTTTTTAAGGTATTAAGTCACATGCTTAGGTTATTTTTTTTGTATCCTGATCCAAATCTAGAGTTCCTAAGGAAAATGTATTTAAAAACGTTCGTGAATATTTAAATATCCTATTAAGTGCCTATTATTTAGAAATTTTTGTGTTGGCTCTGTGTTTGCATAATTTGGGCAATTAGGGTTCATTTTTATTTAATAGATTTACGGTTTTTCTCATCAGCAATATTTTTATAATTTCTATTTATTTTCTATGAGCTTCAGTTGATAAATATATATATTTTGGAAGAAACTGTACTTACTTTTTGCATTAAAAGCTATCAAAATCTAGTTTATACCATAATTCGAATAAGAAATAAAAACCCCAAAAATACAGTAATAAATAAATAAACAAATATTGAAATCTGCTGTAAATACCTGTAAATTTTTTGAAAGTAATTTACACCAAAAATCCCTGGTAGCTTTTAAGCTACAAATCTTGCAGCTAAGTGTTATGCACCAGAACACAAACAGGCATAAAATTAAGATGAAGTAAAATCTATAACATTATCTTTCGAGAGTATTTTTAAAATTTTTTCGTTTTGTTTTGTATTTTATTTTTTCTTTGGAAAATTATTTCTTTATCTTTTATTTTTTTTTTGTGGAATGACACAAAATACATCATAATCAAAATTTATATAATTGAAGTACTAAAATGGACTTTTTTCATTTAACATTCCGGTTACATTCTGGTTACTCCAGAAAAAAACATGCAAGTTACAAATTACATTACTTAAAAAAAATTATTTAAAATCCTTTATAAAAGCTATATAATAAAATGCCCAAACGGGCTATCACAAAGATATTGCAAAACGTTTTCGGATTATTAAATCCATCATCAGTGCAAACGAGGTATACATGCTATGAGCCACCAAAATATATGGGTCCAAACCCTTTAAATGATATAAATTTACATTTGAATTACATTATATGTGGTTACAAATTATGATGTTTAAGTTACCGTTGGAATTGGTAACATGGCGACGTATGACCCTACATAGGTAAAATGGTCCTGAGACGAAGTGTCTTAGAGGACCTGTTGATAACAACTCGTTGTTATCAACAGGTTAATAATAATTACTATGCGTTAGCCCCAATAAGGGGAAAAAGAGAACTTACACGAGAAACAAGAATAAAAATATATAACACAATAGTGATACCGACTGTGCTCTATGCAAGTGAAAACTGGACAATTTTGGAAAGACATAAGAGCAGGATAAATGCAATGGAGATGAGACATCTAAGAAGGATAGTTGGAAAGACAAAATGGGATAGATTAAGCAACGAGACTATTAGGAGAATGGCCAACCAGGAACTGATAATGAACCAAATAGCAAAGAGACAAATGAACTGGTCTGGGCATCTGATGAGGATGCAATCCAATAGAATAACAAGAAAAGTTTATGAAGCAAAAAACATCGGAAAAAGAAAAAGAGGCAGACCAAGAAAAAAATGGATACAGCAAGTAGTAGAGGCGGAAAACTTAAACAAAAATCACTCGAGGAATTGAAAATACTGGCAGAAAACAGAAAAGAATGGAAGAGGTGGGTAAATGGAAATTAAAATAGCTAGCCCAAATCCGACACCCTGATAGGGTAAAAGGAAGGGAAGAAAGAAAAAAAGGAAGAAAGGCTTCAGTTTTTAAAATAGTAAAACCGCTTGGCTTCTAAACACTTTATGTTTGGCATATAAGGCCAACTAACGGCTCATTTTTAAAGTTTTTAAATTTTTTGTCTAAACTTCTTTCAAACGGTTATTTTTTAATTTCTTATTGTTTCTAAATAAATCTCTAGTGAGTTAAAAAAAAACTAACTGTGCTATTAAGAGTCGTAGAATATTATGTTTTTTTTTTAATTCCTTTAAAAATGCCAGCGTGGAGAAGAAAAAAATATTAGCTGCCTATATGTTATTGCGTCTATTATTTCCACTATATTAAGTTATTTTAATTGTTTATAAGTTTAAAAACAAAATACTTAACATAAACCTTATCGTTAAATAATTTAATTTGATGAAATAGGCATTTTTCTTCAACTTGGTACTTTCAGAATTCATGTAGACCCAACAGTTTACGCGTAATAACGTTGTAGGTATAATAAAATCAAAATTTTTTGATTTTTTAAAAATGTGAAAAGTCAAAAGAGTTTTGAAGCTATATTTGCAATAATTAAAAAAATAATAATAAAAAGTACTTTACAAACAGTTATTATACAGGATTTTCTATACTTTTTCAGTAAAATTTTGTCACTTTTCCATATAATTTACTGGTCTTCAATTTAATTGTTTAAAATCAAATAACGCTCTTACATTGTGTAGGTATTGTTAATAAATAAAAAATGACGTTTATTCTTTTGCATATTTTGTTTATTACGTATTGTTATCACCAAATTTATTAAAAGCAGTTGTTTTAACTTTCGGAACAGTTTGGTAACTACGTAGGCGACTTTAACAATAATATCAACTTGTACTTTTATTGTGACAGCGCTTGTCATATAAAATTCGAAAGTTTGTTTTTGCTTTTTCATTAAAAAAATGAAAATCAGTAGCCAAGAAAATGATGAACTGATTCCACATAAGATTAGTGAAGCTGGTAAAATGGCTACTTAACCTACTAAACTAAACTGGATAAGAATTAATGTCACTACAATCAAGAGGGAGACATAAATTGGTAGTTCATAAATAATGTATTCATAAACATCATAAATATCTGCAAAAAAAAATATTGTTCGAAACACGATCCAAAAGTGATTTTTCAGGATTCGCAAGATTCCAGGACTGGTCTTAGGCTCGTCCTTGGAACTTCCTACTTATCCCGTAAAATATCATTTTTGGAACTTTGTACGAGTAAGTAAATTACTATTATTGAATTACGGTTTTTCTTTTTTTAAGATTTCATTTTAATATTTATACTCCATTCCACGAATATACGACTGTTTTAAATTCGCTTTAAGGTGTCGACTTAAATGGTCCAATGTGCTGCATTGTACAATAGTAAATTTTCCCGATTTTTAAAATACTGTTACGACAGATATAAACCTTAGATTTAAATATGAAGTCATGATATAAAAAATATAGAGTTGATAGTTTATATAATAGTTGTAATTCAGAATTTAAATTATATAATTATTATTATTGAGTTTAGTATTTTAAACAAGTTGGTGTTTTAATTAAGTGATTTAAACGAATTGATTAAATACTTAAGTGATTAAATAGTGTACTTTATTTAGTCGAATATTCAATTAGTATTAAAAAAAAAAACAAAAAAACTTACTTATTCTCTTGTTCACCTAATCTCTTAAAACTATTATCAACCATCAGATACACAGTCATAATACACTTTTTCCCCAAATTTCAGGAGTGGCAATATCCAATGCTTGTTGCCATGTTTTCAAGACTGCCTCGTCACTGTAACCCTTGTATCCAATATGGTTATCATAATATGTTTTGCAAATCCCCCAAATATATTCAATTGGATTGAATTGGCCATGATAGGGCGGTAGTCTTAACACACAATGTCCAAAGCTATGTATAATTTCGTCTACTATATATATGTTTGGTTGTGCATGACTTTTAGCTATCGTTAGTAATTGAGGCTTAAAACAGTATTGAGTAAATGTAATAGTTTTAGTCGTTAACCATTCTTTTATTTTATCTACAGTCAAGGTGTTTGTTGGTTGCTTATTTAAAATTTCCGAATGATACGCAGCATTATCCAGTACTATAACGGATGGTTCATGTAAACTTGGCAACAGTTTTTCTTTCAACCATTTAACAAACATCTCCGTATTCATATTGTCATGATAATCGGCTGATTTTGATTTTGATGAAAACACAAGATCTGCTCCCTCAATAAAACCATATTTTCCATCTGCATGTACTATAATATATCTCTTTCCCTCGTTATCGATGTGTTTTATGGATTTTATACTCTCGTCCTGCCACATTCGTTTGATACCGCCTTTAGCAAAAATCCATGTTTCGTCTAAATAAACGAAGAAAGAACATTCTTCTTTAAATTTGTTGTAATTTCTTAAAAATTCTATTCTTTTGTGAACGACACTAGCTCTTTCACACAAAGCATTTCTATTGTCTTCCTTTTTGAACTTAAAGCCAAACATGTTCTTTCTTTTCGCGCATTTTATATGTTGTCTCACGGATTTCAAATTTGCAACCTTCGGGAAGATCTATAGTCTTTGGTTGTCGGCGAGATTTATATTGTGCGACATTTTGTTCACTTTGTCCACTTTTTTTTTTCTTTTTGCAAAACCGACTTAAGTTTTGTTTCACTAATACAGAGTGCATCACACACACGTTTATGTACGGACTGAACAGGTCGCAAAGGGCCCCCGTTGGTTTTCTCAGCAGTAAAATAAGAAAGTACATTAATTATAAACTTGTCTACATCTAAAACACGTCTCGGTATTTTTGGCTTCAATAAACAAATACACTACACTAAACTCTATCTTAACGGACACCTCTCTTCACTGGAAACCTCTATACTTTTTTAAAACTAAAATCAGTCGGCGATATATGAAACTGTATGTAAATTTTCGTTACTTTTTAATATCTGTAACGACTCGGTACTTTAACTATCAATAGACTGGTATATTATACCCGTTACAAAAAAACTTTCGGAACTTAAGAGTACATCCACTCAAATAAAACAAATATTTAAAACTAACAAAGTGAACTATTATATAGATTCTATTTCTGGTTTCTAAACCATCGTTCTGCCAATTTCTTTTCATTTATAATAAAAATAGTATATTTATTTTTATTACAGTTCTAGTACCTAATAAAGTAATAAAATATAATATCAAAGAAACCCGGCACGCCTGTTTGCATTTATTTACAAATATTTACATTTCAAATGCACTATGTTTACATTTCACCGAAATCCAACCCAAATGTCTGATGAACACATTTTCGTAAAAATGAGCGTTTGCGTAAAAATTTTTGTTATTTTCGGGTTAAATTTCACAATAAATTTTGCGTCTATTTGTACATCTATTAACTGAAATGATTTTAGTTCAGATGTAATACTAACAGTAGATGCTTTTTATTGGAATAATAATTAGACCAATTTACTTTCATACTTCTACTTGCACAGTAAAATATTCGTTGTCGCAATAATCTCAAACAGTCGTATATTCGTGGAATAACCTATAGAAAAAGAATTTTTAAAATTATAAGGTAAAGTTGTGATAATATCAAATGCACATAATTTAATTCCAGATTTCACAAAAATTTAAGTTAACTTCACAGGGTGTTTTTTTTTAATTCAGTCATAATGGACTGATCTTAAAAAAAATTTGTCTGATTTTATATGAAAAGTAACTGTGCAAAATTTCAGATAAACAAAAAATGATCGTGTTTCTAAGTTTACTCACTTGGCATATAATTACTCAAGTCAAGTTTGTTAATGTTTATTTTACATATTTTAAAAATACATGGAACCACTTTTGGATTGGGTTTTATGTTTTATTTTGTAAATTAATAACTTTATTTTAAATTTTAGGTAATATTAAGGTATTAGGTAATATTAATATATTAGGTAATAATAAGTAGTTTATTAATAAATAGGATTAATTTTCATTTGGTTTTTTTACAAAAAAGATATTCGCCAAAAAAAATTGGTATAAACAATTATTGTTTCCTCATTAATTAATGGTTGTCATTATTTCACTTAAATAAAAATTTTTCGTAGTTAGTGAGACTTTGCACTATGATTTTGCAAATTTGACCATTGTTTTCTTCAGTTTTTACCTAATCGCCTTATAATTTTTTTTTGTTTAAATTTAAAAAATTTGACTGAAATGAAGATGTCGGCCCGTGTGGAGGGGGAAACTAAAAACTCAAGCATTTAACCCAACGTGCTGAACTAATTTTACAGAAACGTCGTGGTAGAGTCCCTGGGACTCCATGTTGTCAAACTGACAATATGTGTTATGAATGTTGTGTTAGAGTTATTAAAAGTTAATAATACATTTAAAGAAAGCATATTTATTATAAAAAGTTGAACAATACAAAATAATACCCACTTATATGAAAATAAAAATTGAATGAACCGAAAAATCTGCTATCAACGTTTGCGTCGATAAAAAATCAAATTATTTTATATAAACATTTTTTTTAAAACACATTTTTAAAACTATATTGAATACTAAAATAATATTTTTCATACAAAAAGTTATTCTAAAAAATTGTGCATGTCCTAAAAATTGGCCAGTTGATGACATTTCTTCACGCTTATTTACACATTCACTACGCATTTTTTTGCTACATTGCAAACAGATCGGTTATTTACACTGTATACACAGAAAATGATCGTCATTTTCGGTTGGATTTAACCTTACCACCTTTTGAATGTTGAGTCTTAGTTCTCATGGAAGACGTTGGTTAATTTCTCGTTGTCGAAGAAGTGGTTAATATAGTTTCTATGCCAAAATCTTCTGAAACTCTAATCTTGTATATTTTGTTGTATTGGCACAAGCCTGGTGAATAATATATGCATTTATTGCACTCATATCGATTATTCTGAAAAATATGGCTATTCGTCTACTAAATCTACGCCTGCTTTTGTATTGTTATAAAAGGCATTTATTTCCGATAACCCAGTTTTGATATCATCTTCTTTCGTGTAGTGCATCGAGGATATTAAAAGCACACCCCTATTTTTCTTTGGCACTCGAGAGATTATAGTTTTAGTTTTTGTAAATCCGTATAAAGTGGAGTTTACAGATCTTGATCTAGATGGTAGGAACTCTTTAGGAATTTCTCTCTTATTCCTTTTCATAGTGCCAACATATGTTAAATTAATATTTAATAAAACATCTACAAGTTCCACTGATGTGTACCAGTTGTCGCCTGTAATATTTCTACTACTGCCAAAGATCGGCTTGCAAAGGCAAACCACTGCTTGAGAGGGAATAGAGAGTTTTTTTTCTTCTGCAGTTAAATCCTCTCATGCATCAGATCCTTTTCCAGAATATATATATATATATATATATATATATATATATATATATATATATATATATATATATATATATATATATATAAGTGTTGTATACATAGTGGGTACGAGCATCTGCTAAACATTAAATCTTTATTCCATACTTTTCTGGTGCACTAGGTATATACATTTTAAACCTACAACGTCCTTTAAACGACTAGCATTTCATCGACTGTAGTTTTAGCACCCAATACATAAGAATTGTATTGGGTGCTAAATATTTAATATTTAATGGCACCCATAATTTTAAGAATTATAGTTAAATATCTTTAAAATGTGAGAAATTGCGGCAGTTGGAACAGTTTTACCTCGATTCGCTCTTTCTTCTCGTGTATCAAACCGTAGGCATATTAGCAGTACAGCAAAGCTACGTACTGAGAATGCAATTCTAAATATTTCTCTACCCGTACCATCAGTAGTGAACAGTGCGTTGATGTCTTCAGGGTTAGACTTGATGCAAATAACGAAGATTTTCATTCCTGTCACGATATTTCCTCAGTTTGACATTTGTGTAATATACAACAATGTCAACAACATCTCTAGAAAAAATTTTAAGTCACGCCAGCACTGGTTCCATCTGTGTTAAAGATCCTTTGATAGTAGGCAATCTCAATAAATTAGAAGCAGTTGTTTTAACATTGCGAGTAGGTTCAAATGATGCCCATTTGTTCCTATTTTTTCCATAAAAGTATCGTCTGTTTGGATCCACTTTATTCATTGAATCTTCATCAGACTCCTGACTTTCGTCCTATTGACCATCGTTAGTATCGCTAGCATAAAATTCGCTCTCAGAGCTATGGTCACGCTATGGAGCAAAATTGGTTCTTCGTGTTTACTGTTTGGCGTATCGTCACTATCTTGGTCGGAAAAATCACTATCGGCTTCTTCGTGCCATCGCCCAACAATTTCTTTAAAATTAGAATCGTCCGGATGTACACTTTTTTTACTTTTAGAAACCACCATTGAAACAAGAAAACACAAACTACGTCCTAGAGTCATTCGGACTCTAATGTGTTCTATTCGATAACTTCTACGCAACTGATCGCAATTTCGCATACGCATAACAGAGACAAGGATCTACAGACCGAGAATTTGGCATCCAAATTCCACTGATTCGCGCAATCGTACTTGTAAGTTCGTATAGTCGGCTGGAGTTACAATTTGCCAAATTTAAATGTAATCGTTTCTACTCATTCATATTAATATTATAATGTATAATATATTAAAGTTTTTAATATTGGTAATATTATTAAAGCTTTTAATACTATTTTTTAATATTAAGAATAATATTAAGTAATTAAATATTGCGTCTTACTTAAAAAAAGTACGAGATAAACTCGTTTTTTATATCTTTACGTATGCTAAGGGTAATAAATTAAAATCCTTCAATACAAGACTAAAGGTAGGTACCTATAATTTGAATAAGCTGGTTTTGCCCATACTGACTTTCTAATTCTAATTACCTACTAATTTGCATAACAGTCAGATATTGTACCTGGTCATAATGCTGTTTTAATATTAGGATTTTCATTTCGCTTGTTGAAACTTCATCCGATATTAATTTCTTGGAAATTTTTATAAGGCTGAGAGTACTTAATCGGAATACTCGAGTATTGTTGAAAAAAACTGAAATTGAAGGTACTACACAATCGAAGAACTCAAAAAAATTAAACATTTCCGGTATTCTTTTTCCAGATCGTATTTTGTTTTCGAGATATATTTAAATTTGGGAATTTTTTATTATTTTTCCACTTTTTTCAGGTTCTTTTTTAATTTAATTTCAGTATATAAAAGCCTTTACAATATTATCCAAATTTTATTTGGAAGTTAATCTTAACTGTTCAGAAACAATTTGCTATTTAGGAAATGAAAGTTTGTTTTTTTTTCCTTAGTTCTTAATTTGCTATAACATTTCTCATTTGATTTAATAAAAAATATTGTAAATTCATTTTTTTGAATAATTATAACGACTTACATCCGAGTAGCTTAACACAATTAAAGAAAATATAACGAATACGCTCACGACTCGGAACTGAGTCTTTTCTTCTTTTCGCATAAAATATTACAAATTTATTTAAAATACCCTTTATTTAATATATACTTTATTTATTCATCACAATTAAAAAAAATACTAGTCAGCACAGCGGTTGATTTCCATGAAAATACGCTAAGCAGTGATAATGATTGCATGTACCTAAGTTAATATTTTTGTCTTTTGGTTGGTGTTATATTGGAAATTTCCCCTCTCAAGGCATTTGCAAGAAAATTGCACTTTCATGTAAAAAACGAGTTATTTATCTCGTACTTTTTTTAAGCAAGGCGCAATATTTAATTACTTAATATTAATATTAATATTAAAAAATAGTATTAAAAGCTTTAATAATATTACCAATATTAAAAACTTTAATATATTATACATTATAATATTAATATGAATGAGTAGAAACGATTACATTTAAATTTGGCAAATTGTAACTCCAGCCGACTATACGAACTTACAAGTACGATTGCGCGAATCAGTGGAATTTGGATGCCAAATTCTCGGTCTGTAGATCCTTGTATAACAGAGATCTCCCTACTACCTAAAGGTACTGTACGACATCATTCGTTTGGTTTAATAGTGGGGAAAATATGAAGCGTTGTTTGAACTGCAGAGTCCGAGGGACTCCACGACGTCAATTAAGGGTTAAGAACAAAAATGAACTTCAAAATACTGTCGATTGATCGAGTTATTCAAGTATAAGTTAAACACTCTTAGCCCTGGGGGAATTTTTACCGCTAAGATCGCAGAGAAGAATCTTTCAATTTATTTCCTGTTATGATTTTAAGGAAGTCAGGAGTAAGACAATTTTTTGCCAGGTGCTAGGAGTTGTCCCGGTACGATCAGATTTTTATTTTGACTTCGATCTAGGCAATTGAATTATAGATTTATGACTTATGTAAATATTTTCCAGCAAATTGTACTGAATGAACAACTGTAACAAAATGAAGAACTGAGAATTAGAACTGAAACTTTTTAGTTGCAGTCTCTGAAGCTTGTGGTGACAACAGGACAAACTATAAGCTATAATTTTTTTGTTCTGCTCCTGATGAAACAAAGTAATAGAAACTGAAATTTTTTATGCTAACGTCTGGTCATTTTTTTTAACTAATAAATACTTGTCAGCGTTTAATGGTAGTGTGAAAAATTCGACAGTGCGTCTTGTTGGGTTATTTATTTACTTATATCATACTCTCGTTATTAAATAAGAATTATTGTCTTTTTTATTTTTCTAGTAAATATGTATGTACACTGTAAATTATCTTTACTCATAGTTTATTAAATATTAAATATTTATTATATATATATATATATATATATATATATATATATAATACATATATATATATATATATATATATATATATATACATATATATACATATATATATATATATATATATATATATATATATATATATATATATATATAATATAATATAATGTGAATATATTGGGCCTTGTAGTCAATACTGGCCTTTAAATACAATTCTTTAAGGTTTGTTGAGCTTTCGAGTTTACTTAACTCTTTTTCAAAACATACTAAAAATTAAAATAAAAAACTATATAAGAAGATTGGTGTTTTTGTATCTTTAACAGGCTTACCCTTGTGAGGATTGTATTATAAAAATTAGCAAAATTACCCAACATTTGACATTATTAATTTGATGAATTTCTTTTTCTTTCTGTCAAAATTTATTACTATGGTTTCTATTTCTCTTTTATTTTTTAATGTTTATTTTAGGTTAGTTTCACAGAGGAAGTGTATGTTTATGCAAACCTTCATTGCAAATTCTGATATAGTATGTAAAAATATTTCTTTTGCATTTATTAAACAAGCAACAGAGTTTATGTAATTAAGAAGGAAAAACCAAACACAAATAAATAAATATTTTATTTCATTTGAACTTGGAATAATCCCTTTAATCTGTGTAAATTTTTAAAGAACTTTTATGTCGTTGATGTTCTTTTCTTTAAAATAAGATTACTGTATATATCACTAAGATTTTCAAGGTCATCGTAATAGAATGTTCACTTAATAGACAGGCTTGTACTTTATTCAGAATAATGTCACTTTTGTGACATGTTAATCTTCCGGACAAATTTCTGGACGTTTCTCCAATATATATATATATATATATATATATATATATATATATATATATATATATATATATATATATATTTATATATATATATATATATATATATATATATATATATATATATATATATATATATATTCTATTGCAATTATTACAGGGTAGAGAATACACTACATTGGAGCTTTCTTTATTATTTAATGGTGTTTTAAGTTTGCTGTATAATTTCGATATTGTTTTTATATTTCTGGTTCCAATTTTGATATTAGGTCTAACCCGACAAGCGAGAGCTGGCGGGTTGCGCGTAGAACAAATTGAAAAGTGGAAGGAATTGCTCATTTCTATTGAAGTCGGCTAGGAGTTCACATCGTGTATAACCGTTTAAGTACCTATACTATATACCTATAATCGCGATTAAGTACCTCTCCTATCTCTCTTAGAATAATTCCTTTTCTATTTTCGCACAGCTCACCCGCCAGCTCTCGCTTGTCGGATTATACTGCTCTAAATGTATTTAGTAGTCTATTTGTTCAACCTGGAATATATAGTAAATATACGGTATATGGTAAATATGTCATATATATATATATATATATATATATATATATATATATATATATATATATATATATATATATATATATATATATATATATATATATGCATAAAGGTGTGCATAAATATATCAAATTCGTATAATAATAATTCTCTTACTGATTATTTTGGCTTACAATTATAGTTTTAATGCTTATTTTTAGACTAATATTATTTTATGTTAATAAAAACAAAAGAAAATTTCTTTTAGGTGAAAATTTCAATGCAACAGAAAGTAACTGTGTGGACCAAATACTATCTACTGGCATATTATATAACGTACATCAAAGAATAATTTTTCTTGTAAACAACGATATGAAGATAAAGTATCCAGCAATTTACTACAACGTAGATTCTAATCTAAAACTATATGATAGGACTCCTGGTTTATTTATCATAGCAGGAAATATTACGAAAATATTAGAAACTATATACAAAAATACCACAGAGATTCACAAATGTGATTTTATTATATCGGTGCCTGCATTAGATAAGTCACTATTTCAACTACTTGAAAAATATTTTGTTAAAAATGCTACTTTGCTTTTAAAGAACACATATACGAGTAAAGAATCTTTAGACACTGAACTATATGATGTCAAGCCTTTAAATATATGTTCGCATTTAAACCATCGAATCTTACAAGTATTTTTAAGAGTAGATTTATATAAAGCATTAAAAGTATTGTCACCAATTGTGCCACCATTTGTTATTAATTCACAAAACGGTATCCACACAGAGATTATTAATGTAATAGCAAAAAATATGAATCTTACTATTAGATGTGATATAAACGGTTCTAATGGTGTTCTTGATCACAAAGCATTCCGAGCAGGAAAGTATGATTTGTACGCAGGAACTATAAATAGTTACGATTTAGAAGCACATATGTTTGAACATACAGTATTTGTAACATATGACTATTTGATTTACGCTTTCCCAAAAATAGTTCAAATAAACTGGTTAAAAATAGTTCATAAAGAATTTACGATTTCAGTTTGGTTGTGCTTTTTTGGACTGGTACTGCTACTTTACATTCTTTTCGTTCTGTTTGAAAGAGTTCTTCCTAATAATAAAACCAAATCGTCTATAGCTCTTTCCCTTTTACGTGTATTATTAGAAGGAACTACGGATATATTCACCACTCACGTGTCTTTAAAAATATTGTCTATTACTTTCATTTTATTTGGAATGTTGTTCACCACAGCTTACAAAACAAAAATGTTTGACATCATGACGGGGGATTTTACATATCATTTGTATCATGAATGGGATGATATTATGAAAAATAAATTGAAAATAGGCATAACGGATGCTTCTCTTACTAAATATTATAAACAGGCATCGAAAAAAGCATTTTCAACTATTAAAAACAATAATTTATTTGAAGTTTGTAATGAAATGTTAGACTGTTTAAATGTAACCGCTACAAAAAAATCGACGGTTATACCACTTACATCGCGTTCATTTTATTATTATGTTCCTGATCACTTTCTGGATTCCGACGGAAAACCTATGTTTGATATTATTTACCCAAAGATAGTAAATCTAATGTATTTTACACTAGGTTTTAAAAAGGGACATCCACATTTTAATTCTTTTAATAGAAAACTTCAACACTTTAAAGAAGGGGGACTTATATATGTTTTATATAGAAAATATAGCAGTAAATATAAAAAAGCAGCAGCACTTGCCGAGTATAAAGCTAGCATTGATTCCACAATTCTTACACTTCAAAGTTTTCAGACTGCGTTCATTATGTATTTAATTGGTATATGCTTAAGCGTTATTGCGTTTTTAGCCGAAGTGTTAAGAAAAAGAAAATTTCAACTTAATTTAATAGTAGGGTTTATATGGGAGTAAGACATAACTGATTGTAATGAAAATTGCATTTTTATCTAACGTTCAACGTTTCGATTTCCACTACGGAAATAGTTTTCAAAAGATTATTTTAAATGCCTGGGAAAACGGATAACCAACAAGTTGTTAATGGGTTATGTTTTTGAAAAATTATGGTTGACGGGAAAATTAAGAAATGCAATTAATGTATAAACTTGGGGGTAAAACTAACAAAGAGGGGAAGAGCTGATGAAGCCATAAAAGACAGAATAACCAAAGGAAAACGAGTTATAGGTGCATGGAATTCAGTACTATGGTAACAAAATATAAGACCGGAAACGAAAAAAAGAATATATAATACCGTATTGAAACCAGTAATCGTCTATGGCTCAGAAGTATGGCAGTTATCACAAAAACTTAAAGGTAACCTATTGGCAGTTGAAATGTATTTTTGGAGGAGAGCAGCGGGAAAGTCTAGATTAGAACATGTGAGAAATGAGGATATGAGGAATCAAATGAATGTACAAAGATCAATTATAGAAGACATCGAAAAACAACAACTAACATGGTACGGACATGTTAGACGTATGGGGGAAGAAACACTACCAAAAAAATATTAGAATAGGTACCACCAGAAAAAAGAAAACAAGGACGACCATCAACAACATGGATGCGAGGAATTTCAAAAGAAATGTCAGCAAGAAATCTATCTGAAGAAGACTGGCAGAATAGACAGGCTTGGCGAACGGGAACCCAAAGGCGGATTACGCTATGAACTGTATATATATATATATATATATATATATATATATATATATATATATATATAACCTACTTTAATAATAATTTTCATTAATTGCTTTTATTAGATACATCTCAGTAATATATAATAATAATAATACATAAACAATTTAATACAAAAAAAAATTTTTTCAATTAAGAAAATCTAAAATAAAATTTCCCTAAACTAGGATTTAACTTTATTCTGTTTTACCAATGAATCTTACCGACATAAAGATTCAAAAGAACTACTTGAATTGTCAGCGCAAACAGAACCTCACATTTAAACTTTTAAACAATCAAAAATTTAGTTATTGCCGACAATTCAAAGAATTACTTTCTTTTAAATGTAGTTACTTTGGATTTTTCGATTAACCTTGGGTACACCTTTGCGTTTTAAGTTCAAAGCTACCATACATTTCCAACGGTAAAAAAACTTTTTTTTTCACATAGTAACAAAAAAACCACTATGTTGTTACTAGCTAAGTTTTTTAACATTCTAACTCTACAATTCTAAGTTACGGTAAGATTACCAGTGTTTTTTAATAGATAATATATGGTATCTAATTATAATTTCTTTTCTTTTAACCCTAACGAAGCCAAATTAATTCTCTTTTGCGAAAACGTTTGGCGAAACAATTGAAACTCATTAGAGTCTTTCTTGCAGGTTTCCCCAATATTTAAGAGTTTACTATATATATATATATATATATATATATATATATATATATATATATATATAGTTGACTTACTGTTCAAATTTTGACTGTTCTCATTGTAGCTGAGTGCCAAAGTTCCGGCCAGCTTACAACCTTTAGCATACTACACAACTTTTACAAAAATTAGCAGAAATAGGTTACAATTCCAAAAATATGCTAGTTAGTTTATTTTCATTTTTATTTTTGCTAGTACTAGTTTGTGTTTACTACCTGCGTCTGCTGAGTTTATAGTTCGGATATTTAGACTTTGCTTTGGCTGGATTTTTCTATTAGTGACTATAAAATCAATCAAGTCAAGTCAAATTTATTGATCACATGCGACATTATACAAAGTACATGTATAAGTCAAAGTTACAGACATACATCTTAAAAGTATGTAAATTAATAAACACGATAAAACACTTAAAAGGTATTTTTAGAATATGGCTCTAGCTCACAAATGTATTGATGTACACACCTTTAAAAGTTTGGCTGATGTAAATTCATTCGTATATCTAGTGGCAGTTTGTTAAAGAAACTTATGGCTGCATAATGTGCGCTACCTTCCAACAAAACAGAACGATGTTGTGGAAGCATAAAGTGATTGTCTCTGAATCTTGTTGAATAAACATGGTTAAATTGAAGTTTATTAAATTTATAAATTTTGCTATGCAAATACATTATACACGAAAATATATAGAGACTAGGAATTGTAAGAATATTGTTTTGTCTAAAGATGCCTCTACAAGAATCTCTAAATTTTATTTTATACATTATCCTAATAGCTCTTTTCTGAATTACGAATATCTGCTCTAATTCAAAGCTACAACCCCAGACTTCAATGCCATATTTGGCTATTGAGTAAACATGAGCAAAGCATACTGTTTTTAATATTGATGTATGATGAAAGAGGCGTGAAAGAATTCTTAATGCATAACATGCGCTATATAATCTGGATTTCAAATTAGAAATGTGGTTTGACCATTAACAATTACTGTCATATCATAAGTCAATCATATATTTGTATCCCCTGGAATTTTCAAATGTATATTTATACTAGAGCTTATGGTCAAAAAGTTTATTATTGATTCTCACTTCGTTAAAAGCACAGAGATTAGCTATGAGTTCTCCATTTCCGTTAACATGGTTTTAAATCTTTGGTTTTACTCCTGAAATAAAAATGGTTTGCATTTGTTCGTGTGGGTGTGTAGAGTTGTGTTATAGAGGTAGCAACTTTTATCGGAACGACCACATCAAGCGTCATAGACGGGAGATGGTTCTTGATAACTGGTCCTCATAAGATAACTAACTCTCACTTATGGCTCCACGTGCCACACCCCGGGCAACTGCATTGGTTTGCAGGCTAAACTAAGTGAGGGTAGCCAGATATGGCAAAAACTCCACCGATGATTGCCGGTATAAGCAATCCCCTGTTTACTGGCCAACAGCTTCGGGTGGAGGAGTTAGTAAATGGTAGGGCACCCTTTGTCCTGGAGTTGGGAAACTGGCTTCAAAGGCGGAAGAACCGTGAAAGCGGTCAACGGCATAGAGATGAGGAAGAAAGATTGGGACGAGACACCTCATTAAAGATCCAGACTGGATAAGTCCTAGTAGAATCAAATGGCTATGCTTGCAGCGAAATTCAATTCCGGAGTAAGCTCCTCAATCGGATCTCCGGGAGGAGCAGTTACAAGTATAACAAAAAGATTAAAATGCAAAGAAGACATCAGAATAGGCACATGAAACGTGAAAACCATGGCACAGGAAGGTAAAATCCATAATGCAATACGAGAAATGGCACACATGAAATTAAATATTATGGGAATAAGCGAAATGCGTTGGTCAGGTTCAGGAACCGCAAATATCGGGGAACGCCGCGTTTACTATTCTGGGACAGATAACGGCAAACATGAATTAGGTGTCGGCATTATATTGACAAAAGAAGTGGCACAATCTGTTGACAACTTTATCCCAATCTCAGCAAGAGTGATGCTTATACAACTACAAGCAAGACCAATCGACATTAATATAATTCAAGTATATGCACCTACAACAGAAGGAGCAGAAGAAGAGATAGAAGAACTATACCATAGCATTAATCAAGTCCTGAAAAGGTTAAAAAAGCAAGACCTAACAATTGTTATGGATGATTTCAACGCCAAAGTTGGAGCCAGCAAAACATCATCTGCAGTTGGACCATTTGGTCTAGGAAACCGGAATGATCGGGGAGATACATTGGAGATTTTTGCGGAGGCAAATAAATTAGGAAAAAATGAACACCTGGTTTAAGCTACACCCAAGGAAACTGTACACCTGGAAATCTCCACAGGATACTGTGGGAAAGATTGTAATAAATCAGATTGATTACATTCTAGTAAATAAGAGGTATAGGAACAGCTGCACATCTGTTAAAACATACCCGGGGGTAGACATTAATTCTGATCATGTACCAGTTGTAGGTAATTTCAAAGTCAGAATGAAGAAGGTTACAAGTAAGTCGATGAAGAAGTATGATTTTAGAAAACTGAAAGATCCCAATGTTCGACTGAAGGTGAGTGGAAACCTCAATACAAGGGTGCTAACATGCAAAAATGCAGAAACTATAGAGGAAAGTCTGACCATCATACAAGAAACAGTGAGGGAAATAAAAGAACAACACCTGAAGAAAGACACAGAGAAACGCAAATCGTGGATGACCGATGAAATACTTGAGCTTATGGATCAGAGAAAAAAAAACAAAGAAAATTTTCAAGAATATAAGAGAATACATACAATCGTCAGAAGAAAAATAAGAGAAGCCAAAGAGAAACAAAAAACAGAACAATGTCAAGAAATAGAAGAGTATCAGAGTCGATATGATAACTTCAATGTTCATCGAAAGGTGAAGGAAATAGCTGGAAAGTTTCGAAATCACCCACAGCGGAAAAATAACAGATAATGAAGGCAATCTTGCCATAACCAAAGAAGATAAAAAAAAGTATAAGAAGAATACTTGGGGAAACAGAATACTTGACCTTAGAACAGTACAAGAGCCCACCGTTGAAGAAAATTCAGGTCCCGAAATCCTACCAGAAGAAATACCGGCAGCCGTCAGACAAATGAAGGATAGAAAGACACCGGGACTTGATGAAATTCCTGCAAAACTGCTGAAGTTATTAGATACAGAACAAATAAAAATAATAACTGATATATTTAATGAAATATGCAAGGCAGGAAAAATACCAGTAGAGTGTCTCAAATCGGAGTTCGTACCATTGCCCAAAAAACCAGGAGTAAAAGTTTGTGAAGATTATAGGACAATAAGCCTATTGAGCCATCTGCTGAAGCTGTTTTTAAGGGTCATCCACAAAAGAATTTACCGGAAATGCGAGGAACAAATTGCGCCCAATCAGTTTGGATTTCAAATGATGAAAGTGCTGAAGAGGACAGGGATTGATGGAACAGACTTAAAAAT